CAGTTCGAGTTCAATTCATGTAATGTTCAAATTAGATCCAAGTCCAAGTTCTTTCTTTTCATTCAAGTTATGGTTCAAGCTTAAGTTCTTTTGAGTCCCTTGCGCTTATTCAAGTGAAAATAAGGTCCCCTTTTTTGTTTAAGTCCTTGGTTCACCAAAAATTTTGGCAGCCTACCAACATATAGGGGAAAAACCAAGAGACAGCTTTCCCCTCGATCTACATAAGTGCTTTAGGTAGATGTCAGGTGACACCGCAGCTATATTTTCTTCAATCACCGCTACGCTCCTGGTACCTGTTTAAAAGAGAATAGTTATTTCCCCAAGTATGTGTACTTATTTTTCGTCCCGCTCACACTACATAAGCGCTCCGGGGACTACCCACCTCGTCGCAAGCGTCGAGAGCGAAATTTTAAGTCATAAATTTATATCTTCACAAGTAGATCTGCGGTGGAGTTAGCACATATAGATCGAGGCAAGCATTGCACTTTTTAAAATAATAATAATATTAATATTGATTTGAATATTATTATTATTATCATATCACTATTATATCATTATAATATTACTATCATATAACATCAATAATATGATAATGATAGTAATAATATAAATAGTGGCATATAATACTAATATTGATATTAATATCAATAAATAATAATGACAGAAAATAAATACAAAAAGAAAATGAGAGGATTAACCTTTTTGGATTTCGCCGTAGATGATGATTTTGGCTGGATCAAGTGGATTTGAGTCGAGTCAGGGCAGGAGTTGGAGTTGTGGGTATAGGTTAGACGGATATGAGAGGAGGCGTGGGTTTCGGCTAGGTTTGGCTTGCGGCTGGAATCAGAAAAAGGCGAACAAGCTAGGGAGGTCGGCTTTGAGGAGAAGTGGGGAAGGAGATCAAATGGACTGGCGTCAGCTTCGGCAGAGGAAGGGCGATCGAAGTGGAGGAAGAAGGTAGAGGCAACGGGATAGGGAAGAGCTTAGTTTGGGGTGAGTTCGACTCTAGTAGAATCGGAAGGTGGAGTTAGCTACAGCTATGGTGTCTGCTAGGGCTCTTGGAGATCTTAGTTGAAGCAAAGATGTGAGTGTTGGAGGAAGAGAGTTTTGGATAAGACTTAGAGAAGGAAGAGGGATTGGATGGGGATATGTTGAAGTCAGAAGTAGCGACTGAATGGAAGCCGGAGTCCAAGGTCTGCGAAATATGGATAGGGAAGAAGAAGTCTCGTATATGTAGCAGGAACCGAACACCTCTAATCGTTGCTGATTTTATAGCCCGATTGGAGCGCGAAAACTGAGCGAATTTATGGGATTTGAGCAGGAATCGCGGAGATGAGGCACAAACGGCACCGTTCTGTACGAGGTAAACGGGTTTTGAGCCATATTTTTAGGATTTACCATCTCTTTTCTTTTTATATAGAGGCCAACAACAGTTTTGCTCTTTATATGCAGGTATCCTCCTAAATCCAAATCAACATATATAGTAACATAATTTTATGTCAATTCTTTGAAACTTCAGAAAATAATTTATTATACATTTTGGACAGCATAGTATCCACTACACAACTTTTCAATACTTTTTCTTGGATTGGGCATGTACTGATTGCTCGCTCTACTTGTACAATATCTGGCCTAGTGCAAACCGCTATATAAATAAGAGATCCAACAACTGAGGCATAAATAAATTTGGTCATATCTTCTTTCCCTCTTTAATAACGGGTATATGTCCAATAAAAAATTTGAAATGGCAACCAAATGGAATACTTAAAATCTTTACCTTTACATATTTAACATCTCTAACACCTTCTCAATAATGTGATTGTAAAAATTTTAATATATAGGGCCCTATTACAATCTATTCTCATCACAACTTTTTTTTCCTTCTCACAAATTTTTATGTAAAACATTGTGTTAATACTATCCCTGAAAGCGACGCGTTGTACGGCCTGAATATAAGTAAAAGTGAGCAAGGACCGCTGCACCCAGGTGCATTGTTAAATATGCAAGGGTTCCTACATCATGAGCGGATGTGGGAAAATAAGCAAGTCTGTGAAATTAAAATTAGGATAATAAATTGGAATATAGATTCCCATAGAAGAAAATTAATGGAATTAATCGATATTATGATTCATAGGAAGATAAATATTTTGTGCATTTATGAAACTAAATGGGTTGGAGAGAAAACAAAGGAGATTGATAATTTAGGATTTAAACTATGATGTTTCGGTAGGAGTAGTACTAGAAATATAGGTGTAATTATTGATAAGAATTTGAAGGATAATATTATAAAAATTAATAGAATTGAAAATAAAATTATAACTTTAAATATTATTATTGATGTTAAGATTATTAATATTATAAGTGCTTATGCTTGTCAAATAGGTTCGAATATATGTTCAAAATTAAAATTTTAGAAAGATATAGAAGAATTAATACAAAAGATATATCTTGAAGAAAGAGTTTTTATTGGAGGAGATTTAAATGGATATGTTGAAAGAGAGGTAAATGATTTTAAAAGCATTCATGGTGGCTATGGATTTGGAGCGACTAATTAAGGTGGTAAAATAATATTAGATTTTATTATAGCTTATGATTTATAATTGTTAATACCTTATTTAAGAAAAGAGATGAGCATCTCATCACTTATAAGAATAGCTATAGTAAAACTCAATTAATTATTTTCTTATATGAAAAATAGAACATTTAGATTGCAAAGATTGTTTTGTTAAGTTTATGTGTACAACATGACTTATTAGTTTTTAACTTTAAGATGAAGGGGCAAGATGCACTAGGCCAAGTTAAGTAGAACGCTCTAAGAAAAAGCACCCCAAAAGGAATATTTCACTCAGCAGATCACAAAGGAGTCCGGAGAAAAGGGTGCTAACATGGATGCCTAATACTAACTACAACCATAGCCACACTAGCGATGAGTACAACCTTTCGCCCAGGCAAAGGAGGGAGCAAAAGCTAACAAACACATCCTCCAAGGAGATCGTATAGGTAAGGTTGCCTACCAAGATCAAAATGCCTCAACTAGAATCATACCACAGAAAGTCAGACTCCACTAACCATGTAACATTCAAGCCAACAACGTTACTGATGGATGTTAGTAATGACTTAAAGAGTCAACTCTTTTCACCACTTTTAAGTAGTCCTCTTTACGGTAGTTTTCCCACCCTAATAGCCACATCAACAAAAATAAAAATAATAATTGATGCAATTGGCATTTTTTCAAAAAAAAAAAAAAAAGAATATAAAAATGTGGTTGAAGAATCCTAGACTATTCACCCCAAAAAATTGGCCATCAATGATTGTTAGCATCAAAACTATGAACATAATAAGAATTGCCCTATGAACAATAAAGTTGATGGGTCACTGCACATACCCCAAAACCAGCATCATCTATGTCAGCATGAAGCACCCCTGCAAGAGAAACCAGTCAAAATCGCAAGACCGCCCACTCTGCGAGCATAGGTAATGCCACGACCAGCTTCGTATAAATGAAGGTACACACCCTACCACTAATATCCTAACATCACTCTTTTGGGTTTTAGGTTTGTCCATGGCCAAACTTGTAGGTGCATTCAAAATAAAAAGTTCTTCAATAATCCGGCACCCATGAAAGCAATCAATCAAGGGAAACCTCCAAGTACTATACCTTCCATAAGGACCACATGCACAATATTGGGGAATGCAAGCACATCTGAGGTTTAGTGGAAGACCTTATCTAGGCAGAAAAAGTAAAATATTTTAGTCCTCGCCAACCCAGATAAGCGACACGCCCATGTAGGATCAAGGGCACGAGCCCGTTCTTGTCCGTTCCATCCACATCGCCTATGTCGTACCAACCATTCTCGGAGAGGATAAAGCTGAAATGTCCCTAGAGTCAAGTCTCACAAGATCTTTCTTATAATAGGTAAACTCAGCCAGCATATCGCGATGTGCTGGCTCTAGTGGATGAAGTCTCCTCGTTAAGAGCGGAACCCTTTTAATGACACTATGGTTATCACTTTCTGCGAGGTGGACAAGCCAGAGAGTGGGAACCCTTTTAATGTTGTGTTAATCACAACACTAGTCAGTAACTACCAAATTGGTGGCATACTCATCGATACATTGTGTCTTCTTTACGATTTCTTTGGCGAGCGGCAAGAAACTAAAGGCTTGATCACCCTACCAATCACCTGAGTAGAGGACAAATGCCAAAATACTGCGATGGAAGATTTCATTGTTGTGGATGCAATAAACACCTACAATGGGATCTTTGGGCAGCTTCTCCTAAATACCTTCAGTGCGACCATCTCAACGTACCACGTGGCAGTCAAGTTCTCGGCAAGAGGCCAAGAAATCATGACAATGGGCAATCTTGCAAGCCTATTGTTTGAAGGCTATAGAGAAGGTGGCAACTTCCCAAGAGGAAATACTATAGGTGGAAGTAGAGAGATGTTCATGGCTGGACAACATGAAGCAGTGGAGGAAATCCCAGTAACAACAATAGGTGACTCATAGAGAACCTTAAGAATATGTTTGTCATATACTCTGGCGCATCGAGACAAGCTTGTCAAAGAACTTAGAAATGACCTTGATGTTTTTACTGGGGCAACAGCAAAGATACTGAAATTGATGTTGAAGTCGCCTGTCACCAGCTAAATGTCAAATGGGAAGCTCGGCCTACCAACCTTAATGTTTTCACATCTTTTGGATCTCTTCTTTCTCTTAGATTCTTAGTTGTTGTTATGCTTATTTCTGAGATATTATAGCTTTCCACTTTCTTGATTTTCTACCCTAATTCACAAACTACCTGCTCTTGTAAAGTCAGATGTCACCCACGATTAGATTTCAATCCAACATTTCATTGAATTGTTGAAAAATGGGTTAATAATATCAAAATCTCCATATTCCAACATAAATAGAGGGAAAAAAATTTCTACTAAACCCCACTTAAAGGAATTTGATCAAGAAAAAACCTGAATTCTAACTTAAGTCGTATGGAAGAACCGTACATTGCCCAGGGCAATTCCAGGTAGAAGCTAATTAGGTGACATTCCCAGTTATACAAACTAAATTGGTTCTAGTTTTGCATGAAAATTGGAAGAATTGAGAATCATAGTAGTTCGATGTCAGTTCCCTGAGCTTCGCCGAACCTGCAACCATCACCTACCGCAAAACAGCCCTCGGTAGTCAAGAGAGAGAGAGAGTGTGTGTCTTAGAGAGACAGAGAGAGAGAGAGACAGAGAGAGAGAGATGAATGGTTTGGAGATATAGAATCTATTCCATGATCACCACAAGATATTATAAGATATTTCAAAGTTTAACAAAAAAATTTCAAAATCTTGTCAAAATCAATAATGATCCCTTCAAAAATCTCTTATATTAATAAAAGATTGTTAAAATATTCCCATAAACCCACAAAAAGAAATTTTAGCCATATGTTCAAAACCTCAATCAAATATTTGCAATAAATGGGATGATTAAAATATTTTAATCTGATTTGATGGCAAGAAATTAATTATAATTTTAAAATCACTAACTTAGATAAGAATTTTTTTTATTATATATGCTTAGTGGTGGAGTTCAATGCCTCTCTATTCGGCATCTCCAAATCATCATTCATAAGATTAATTAAATGATTTTTCAACAAGTACAATTTTTTGTAAGCATATAAATGGGATTTATCTTCCCCTTGATCTAATAAGCTATAGAACACCTATCTTGAGTAAACTTTTATCGTAGTTATACCTAAGTTCATATATTTTGTCCATGAGCGAAAATTGACATTCATTTGCCAAATGAATAGCACTGTAACAAAATAGTTGTAGTATTCTTTGTACTTGTACAAGTTGTTTTAGGAAGCTTTTGAGCCAAATCATTTCCTCGCGAATTTTAGTGGCATGTACATATTAAGATTTGTGTTAATTACCGACTATATTTAAAAATTGTAGCACCCAATGATTGTAATGTTAGCCAGTTATGGAATATAACTAGGCAGTTTTGCTCTTTATATATGTATCCCTAAATCCAAATCAACATGTACCATAAATTTTATGTCAATTCTCTGAAACTCAGAAAATAATTTATTATACATTTTGGACAGCATAATCCACTACGCAACTTTTCAATTTTTTTTTGGATTGGCATGTATATGCTGATTGCTCGCTCTACTTGTACAATATCTGGCTAGTGCAAATGACTATATACATAAGAGAGAGGCAAAATAAATTTGGCATATCTTCTTTCCCTCTTTAATAACAGATAATGTCCTGAAACAATTTGAATAGGTACCAAATGGCATACTTAAAATCTTTACCTTTGCATATTTAACCTCTCTAACACCTATCAATTATACTTTTTGGACAGCATAGTACCACTACGCAACTTTTCAATATTTTTTCTTGGAATGGACATGTATAGCTGATTGCCTCACCTCTTACTTGTACAATATCTGCCTAGTGCAAACCACTACATACATAAAGAGATCCAACAACTTGAGGGCATAAATAAATTTGGCCATATCTTCTTTCCCTTCTTAATAAAGTATCACTTGTAAAACAATTTGAAATGGCTACCAAATGGAATTTTAAAATATAATGGGTTACCAATAGGTATATTTTAAATATGCCGCATTTGGTAGCCATTTTTAAATATGCCATTCGGTAACCATTTTTCCTTATTTCCTATACATTGACATCACAAATCATTCGCCCGCATCTAATACCCCATTCATCGAAGTATTCTTATTTCAATTTCTTTTGGCATGAAGTTATTTTCATGCTCCTCTCTTGATGACTCATAAATGACATGGAGGCCCGACTCTCGACATCCTAATATTAATCATTTTAAGCATAAATTCTCTAGTTAAATGACTTATTTTTTCTCTAAATTATTTTAAAATTATACTTAATTTAAGTTTATATACAATAATTTTTTAAATATAAAAACTATAATGCCATGTCCAACCTGTTGTCCGTGTCCTATAATTTCAATAATGAACGTGTCAACGTGTCGGTATCGTAGTGTTCGGTGTCTGTGCATCATAGCTTGCCCATGCAACCAATTACCTTATGTGATTACAGACTAGATCTATTACTATTAAAATTACACTCCATGTATTCGATTTTAAATATACTCAAACGAAAACCTTTAAACTCTAAGGTTGACCTCTACAATTTAAGTATACCTTCAACTCCCTCTCTAGTATTATCAACAAGAAGAATCATCCGGAAAAGGAATCACCAGGGTAGGTCCTCTTGCAAATGTTTAATAAAGACATCAATGACCAAAGTAAAAAGATATGGGCTTAAGGATGATCCTTGATGTAATCCGAATGAAATAGGAAAATACTTGATCAAATCACCTTATGTTTGAAAACAAGTAATAGTTCCTGTATCCAGAAATGGAAAAATATTCAAGACAAATAGTGAGAACCAAAACATAAATTTATACATCATTTTGATACAGGCCTAGTCATGAGTGGTCATTGAAGTCATATAATTCAAATCCCTCAAACTTCATTCCACTTGCAATTTCTGCACTAGAATATTCAACATATTTGCTACTCTACACATACGATAGACTTAACCAAGAGGGAGTTCACAAATTCCCCACCTTTCTTAATACAATATTACTCTGTTGAGGAGACCAGTACAAATCTATAGATGCATGACATTTGAACGCCACATCCAATGCTTTAGGTAGCTTCTTCTAGTTAGGATAATAATAAAACCTTAAGCAAAATCAAATGAAGAAAAGAGAACACAACACACTAAAGACCAAAATACAAGACTCAAAATTTAAATAGTTCAGTGATATCGACTTATGTCCATAATGCAAAGAGATCATGTATTTCACTATGCTTCAAAAGAGAGGTATATCAAGAATTTCTCTTTATAAAATTTTGAAGATAAAAACAAAGAGAGATAAGGATCAAAATAGTCCCCTGACTCTTTACGAATAACTAAAATAGTTTTCGACCATTTAAAAGTGTCATTTTAATGTGACTTTTTAAATAGCGACCTAAATGAACCCACGGAAGGACTAACTAAATTCTCATTTAAGGAGTCAATGAACGAAATTGATACTTTTATGTAGCTCAAGATTGTTTTAATCCTTCAAAAGGTTAAGAGTACCAATTAGGTCCTTTTATCGAATAGAGATATCAATTTATCTTTGTCAATGAATAGGAAGGAATGAAATGATCTGCTATGTTTGTTGCAGGATTCCAAAGAAGAGCTTCACCCTACTATAAATGACGCTTCTCTTTTAGATGGAACTAAAACTAGTAGCACTTTCTTGAAAAAAGTAAAAACATCCGTCCTACAGGTGCTTGAAAAGTTCCTCTCTTCTCTCAGTTGGTAGCCCCTCTCCCCTCTCTCTCATTATTTGTAGATGTTGGATGTCAAACCCTTCCTTCTAAAGCTCTAATTATGATGGCAACATAGAATGTGATGGGGACATCGATACGAGGTTTCGACGCGTCTATCAGAGGCGACACAGGAGATCGATGGCCATGATGGAAAGTCTTTACTTTTGATGCATTTTTTTTGTATTAGTCATTTTATTTTTTTCAGTTTTTTCGTTTTTGTCCTTATGGGTAGTTGGTCATTATTGTAGCCCAAGGGGTATTCTTGTCTTTTGTTTGATTTGTCATTGTGAGGCCTATATATATGGCCATCCTCTTATGTATTAGAGGATGAATGTTTAATGAAATTTTACTTGTTTCTTCTTCTTCTTGCATGGGAGCTAGAGAGAAGGGAGAGAGCTCAAAGTGAGCAATTGCAAGGTCCACCAGTCGTTGGAAGAGTCCACGACTCATGGTTAGTTTAATTTTATCCTATTTGTTTTCTTCTTCATCTCCCTTTCCCCTTCTCAAAACCCATCGCCGGCCACGTCCAAATTTCATACCACCGGTGGCTCAACCCCTCCACCCACATCATCTCCTAGCTCCACCATTCGAAATCCAACCACCAACCAAAACCCCAACCCGCCCCTCTTTCTCCTTGCCGCCGCCCCCCTTCCCTCATAATTGCCCTCATTATGATGATTTCAATCATCAAAATGATTTCCTAATTTAGCTACGCATGAGAGGGAAAATTCGAATTCATTTGAAATTCAAATTTCGAATTTCGAATTTCGAATACTTTCCATTTTTAGAATTCCAAAATAGGAAAGTTAATCATGACATCAATCTAATTCAAAATAGATTGGATTCAATATTAATTTTCCTAAATCATAATCCTTGTTTGAAAACCTCCTAAACACCTCCCCAAATTTCCTCCCTCTCCTCCATGCCGCTGACCTACTAGGGCCCTCTCCACTTAATGCCTACTTAAGGCATTAATTGCAAGATTAATTTGAAATCAAATTTCGAATTATTCTCCCCCCAATTTCATTCAAATCCTGAAATTAATTTCAGATTTTGAAAACAAAACCCCCACCACCTCTCTCTTGGACCAGCCGACCCCATTAATGGGCTCTCCCTTTGTTTGTTTCCAATCCTAGCCTCAACCCAAATTGAATTCGAATTCAAATCCTAATTTGTTTCCCTCCAAACTAATTAAATCTGAAATTTATTTCAGATTTATTGGGAGACTTATTGGAATCGGATTCCAAACCCTAGCCCTCTTCCCCTTGAAGCTGCCGGCCCTCTCCCTCATTTCTATTCAAGCCGCCACCTCTCTCCTTCACCCCTTGCTCTCTTTGCCTACTCCCTCGTACTCTCCCTCTCCATCTCATGTCAATGACATATGGCCGATCCCAAGGTTGATCACGATTTCGCCTACAACGATCGTGGGGAGATTGACATTCTTCTCTCTCCTTTCTACGACCCCGATTGGGAGTACGACGAGATGGTGGAAAGATACGTCAAGCGCATCCTCTACAGCTTAGCGCATACGATCGATCTTCAAAAGCCTAAGACGCCTTGGCATCTCATTGGGAGATCTACTCCTTCTCCGTCTGCGGCTACCTCTCCACCACCGTCGACCTATCCGTGGATTAAGACCATTGGCGTTGCGACCGTCCTCGTGGCATCGTTGAGTGTGCTGAAGACCTTTCTCCGCTAAGCCGTACTTTGAGTGTGAGTGAGCATGGTAACTCATAGTGAACTCTCTAAATATTAACTGTGGGATTGTATTACTACATATTTGTTTTTTACTGTGATAATTTCAGATCTATCTTAACTTGCCTAAGCTTTTGATTTGTAACTGCTTACTACAATAAGATTGAGGATTGAAAGTTCT